GTGTGTGTGTGTGTGTGTGTGTGTGTGTGTGTGTGTGTGTGTGTGTGTGAAGGTAGAGATGGAAGTGACCTGGATTGTGCGGATTAGAGTTATCCCAGGCCTCAAAACCCCAAAAGCATCTCCCTTCTTAATGCCCCCCTTCCTTATCTTCGCCCACTTCGCGTGCACATCTTTCTGCTGTCGCTGTCGTCACATACTGTGCAGTCATTCTTTCCCACTCGACTCGCCGCCCTTTACAACCGCTGCCAAACTGGCTCGCAGCATCCGGTTTACTTCTCATGACTTAGGCGGAAAACACTGGTCGGCTCTGGTCAGCCTACGCACACAAGTGTAACCCCAGCGGGCTGCGCGTCGGTGTGTTTGCATTCACGTATGCGCTGATGTTTTCATATCAGTGTGCTCGGTTAGACAGTAAGCCCTATTCATGCTCATGCAGATCTGCCTCCAACAGATTGTCTGGCAATCAGTCTGTCCTTGTGCCCTCTGTGTGCGTGAGTGTGTATTTGTATGTCCCAGATATTCAGACTCCGGCCGCTAACCCTAACCAACCCCCCAAATGCCCTGCCCTCCCCTCCCCAACCCTCTCTCAGTCGCTCTCACACAATAACCGGAAAAGGCTCAGCTCCATTACACAAACGCTGAGGGGACGACGAGGGAAAATAGCAACACTCTCCACAACATCGTGCTGCTGATGTCTGTAATAATTACAGTCAGAGGAGATTAGAGTGGAGATAGCAAGTATATCTGATTGTATATGTGGCAGCTCAACATTTATAGAAAACAAGGCGGTGTACAGTTTCAGTGTTTATCTCAGTTTTTGTGCTGAAAGGTTCGACTGTCTCACTGAATGAACACGTTACTGTCCTTCTGTGCCACAAGCAGACAACGCTACAATCACTTCCTCGGAGTAAAACGGGATTGCTCAGAAATTATTGTTCAAAGAAACTCGGGGCTTTCTTTATCGGACTGCCGAATGAGAATCAGACCTTGGAAATATTATCGCAGATGAAAAAAACCCCAAAAAACAGACCAGTTGCTTTCTTGAATTAACCGATTGTGCCGTCGGTTCCCTGTTAAACTCGAGGAACACAAAACACAGCTGACAGCCCAAAGTCACAAATGACATCGTTTCTGTGTACGTTGCGTGCCGAGTGAAAACGACTCCTCTCTGGGGCAGCGCACAGACCTGAAGGTCACCGGTTCAATCCCTGGGATGGAAAGATAGACTTGGAACCAGAGGTGAGAGCAGCATTAGAAATGAATCCATCAGAGGGGCAGCTCAGAGTCAGAGAGGCAGAAATGGTTTGCACATGTGCAGCGGAGGCAGAGAGGATGATGAAGAAGATTCATGGATGTAGTGAAGGAGGACATGCAGAGGGTCGGTGTGACAGAGGTGGATGCTGGGATGGGGCAGACGGTCTGCTGTGACGACCACTTATGGAAAAGAAGGAGAAGAAGAAGGTTTTCAGTATTATGAAGGCAGTTCACTTCTTGCTGGTATACATCGCAATGTTAACTTCTGCTGCAGACACAACCTGCTGCAGAGCAGGCTGCGACCTGGAAAGATGCCTCAGACCTCAGTGTGCTGAGAATAAGAGGAAGTTTTTAAAGTATTGTCTTTCCCTGATGCACATTAGTAGAAAAATAGATTTCTACTAATTTTATCCTCCCTATCAGCTCTAATATCTGAAAACAAGGCACCTATGTTTGTACTTGTTGACCTTTATATCACATTTGCATGTGCGCTAGGCTGACATTTGAATTGTGCTTTTATACTTGTTCTGTACCTGCTCTCACACTCTCGGGGCTGCGGCTGAGAGATTTTAAAAACCGACACTGTCTTCCGCATATCTGAACACGGATTTCATCTGTCAGATTCTCTCGAGTCTCAGTGAAATCAGTGATGTAATACTAATCAGTTCAATTACACTCCTTCCTTTAAACTTTACAAATGCACCAGCTCTTTGTAGTGATGATCATCCGTACAGAGCTTTTAAACACTGCTCATCTGTCAGTTTTTTCAACTGGTCTGCTGACAATAGGCCTGTCTGTGGTTCTGGTGAATCATACAGCACCGCCTCCGTCATGTGAACGTGATCATTGAGAAACCAGAGGTTAACTTGGGTTGATAATGACCTTTGTGTGACCCCTGACAGCAGATGTTGGGTTAAATGGACCTTGATTTTAAAGGTATGTTGCGTTTTTAATAGAGGGCTCATCAGCAGCTCAGTGGTTAAGTGGGACGGTGTTTAGAGGGGAGGCAAAAAAAACCTGATTCATTCAGTGATCTTCAGAAGCCACAAGCTTCACAGCTGATTACAGAAGTTGAACTAAAGAGGAAGCTAACTCAGAGTCATGCACAGACAGCTCAAATACAGTCCAGCCCTGTGCTGACCTGTTGTTCCTTTCCTCATTTTCTACTGTTAAAATGGTGGATGGTCATACCGACCTTGGTACCAATCACCTGCGGCTGAAATCTTCTGTGAAAGGCAGCCAATCAGAAAGCAGGTTGGTTTAAAGTATGTCCTGAGGTCCAGTATAAGATAAATAAAGATTGTTTTAAGCAGAAAATCACAGGAAGCTACTCTGGAGTCCAACAACAAAATTTGTGGAGCTGGAAATGAGCATTTAAGTGTCTGTGTATGCATATCTGCTCCCATGCACTTCATCATCACGATCATCACTTTATTTCCAAAGCACTTAAAAACAACATAAGTGCTGTAGAAAAAAATGAGAGATCAAGTGTAAAACATTGAATCAGCTACAAGTTCATTCATAAATGCCAGATTTGAAATAGTACTGAGTTATGTGCTCTCGTTTGCTTTTCTGGCACAATTTCACCTGCGTCCCAGGTGCATGGAGAAGTTATTAGGTTACCAGACCAACGTGTTTCGGCTTCATCATGACCCCGATGAAGGCCACAAGCTGACAGGGTCGTGAAAATCGTGCAGCAGCGTTTTTGTAACGGGTGTAGACGTGAGAGGGAGGCAGAGTAACAATAATCCAGACGAGAGGTGATGCCTTTAGGTGGGATCTAGACAGGATGGGCTTGATTTTTGACAGCTGCCTCAACTGAAAGCACTTAAAAACAGGGAGGACATGTGGCGGTTAAGTTTTAGGCTGGGGTCCATTTTCACACCTAAATTAGTGATGCTGGATTTTTCATGTATGGCCAAGGAGGAAAAGTCAAAGGTAGGGATACAGCTGGAGCTACTGGATTTAAAAAGCATGACCCCAATCTTTTTTTTCCTTTAAAATTAAGGAAATTCGGTG